GGGAACTCTAGCCTGTGATTCGGCCGGGAGCTTCAAGTTGGCTCTCTCTAACTCCTCATCAGTCATGAGAGCCCCATCCGCTCTCAGGCCGGCACACCCAGTCGGGGCAGAGCAAATATCGCAAGGGCGATCGAAGGTAGAGACGTCCAGATGGCAAATGCAGCTGCACATCCCACGCAATAATGTTCTGGCTCTCTAACAAAGTCGATTTCTATATCCTCTTCGGGACAGGGCTTCTCGCACCCATCGTTAACAGGCACCGAAACAGTACCCTTCGGCGTATCACTGTAGGCCACATCCTCACCCACAGCCTTATCCGATGCCTCAGGGTTGGCCTTGTCCTCAACCAAGAAGTTTTCGGTCTGGCTTCCTATATCGACACCACCCGTGACCACCTCTTCCTCGGAGTAAACGGTCTGGACACCTTGCGTTACCAATCTCCCAGTAGTTTCTAGTACTTGACGTTGTTGAGCAGCCATCAAAGCTATCCTTGGAGACACCGGCTCCGTCATCGAAGGAGGACTGCTCAACACCTATATAGGAGGTCGCGTTGCCACCCTGGCAACACCGCCTCGACCGTACACCTCTGTCAACGGCGTCCAATGCATCTCTCATCAACCATGGAATACCAGGCGGGCCTGCCTTCGTATTCCGACCGATAATACGCACCGGCTTCTCTGAATACAATATATCTAACTGAAAATATTTTAAGAAGTCGTGCCCCAGAATCACGGGGAACGCCAACGATTCTACAATAAAAGCTGTAATCAAAAAGGGAATACTCAACTCATCAGCAGTGGAGCGGGCTCTCTCCCCCACCCCCGCTGCTGTAATCAGATTAATCGCTAATGTTGCCACACCAATAATCTTACAAGAGGACTTATCTATTGTAATCAACGACGGCCCATTCACGGGGCTAACTTCACAGCCAGCCGGAATCACATCACGTGCTACCATCGTGGCACAGCAGCCAGTATCCACGAGGCAGCGAACAGGGCCAACAGACTGAAAATTCGACACAAGTTGTACAGACAAGAATAGACCAGAATCATCTCCAAAAGGGTACAAAGTCAATGTTTTCTTATGATCATCAGGGGTCAAGACTTTAGCGACTGGCGACCGCGGGCTGCTGGGCGGCCGCCCGCTAATTTCCCTGTTCCGGCGTCACA